GGTGTGGGTGCGGGTGTGGGGTGTGGGTGCGGGTGTGGGTGTGTGGTATGGGTGTGGGGTGCGGGTGTCGATGTGGGTGTGGGTGTTGATGTGAGTATACTGGGTTAGCATCAATATTAATAAATCAGAATAAATCCTCAATAAAGAAATAAGTCCGCCAGAAAGAATAAATCCCGAAAAAATAAGTCCTGGTAGTCCCTCGATAAAGCTAATTGAAAACCTTCATCTGTTGTAATATTAGAACCGAGAATAAGTTGCTTCATATTTTTAATGAATGCTAGACGTTCCTGAAAAATAAAAAAATAATGAAAATTAATAAAAAAAAAAAACTAATTAACTTTTCAATTTATTTTATTGATTCTGATAATATACGTTTTCAGGAGGAGTATAAATATTAGAAGAATAAGGAAAGCGATTATAAGGTAAAAAGAAGAATTTTATTCATTAATGTCATCTCAAGTTTATATATAGTTTAATTTTCCAATAGAAAACAAAGAGATGAAAAACAAATGAACTCGTCAGACGAGCACACAATGACGAAAAGTTTATGGAAAAAATTCTATTCGTTAATCAAATTCATAAAAGGCTTAAATTTTTGTTGACCAATTCCTTGTCAATTCGAACTAATTTTCAGATTTCTATTTAGTATTGGACAAACTTTCGAAATAGATTTGGAAAGAACATTTAAAACTGAACACAACTGACATGGTGGATCGCTGGGAGTCCGAGATATTTTAATATTAGACATGTGTCTTTCTAAACAAGGATAAACCAATTCCTACTAATTCCTTGAATTTCTAATCAGCACTTTTAATATTTCTACTAGTGAAATCTGTCGAACTACCATCAATTCTTCATGCCTGTTCTGTTCAGTTTTGAATGCTCTTTCCGAATCTATTCTGAAGTCTTATCTGACACTAAATATAGGTCTGAAAATTAGTTGAGTTTGACAGAATTCAATCGAAAAAAATTTTAATATGTGAATTTTCAGTCAATTTCAGACCAATTCTGAAAGATTTGCTTTATGTTTCATGAATTCCAACTACAACTTCGGATAGAATAGGAAAAAAACAGATCATGACTATTATTTAAAAAAAAATACACAAATAATTAGATTCTCAATCAGGAAAAAATTTCATATTTAATATCATACTCTAGGAATTGGTACATCCATAGCATTCACATGCTAATCCTCTGATCGATAACTACCAATTGAACTGCTGTAAACATAATTTAGTAGGTACTACTCGAAAAATAATTAGGGCATTTCCTATACTTACTGATCGAGTTTTACCAAATGTTAATAATTCATTTCTTAGAGTGATAAGTTCTTCAGCAATTGGATCACCATTGGACAGTTTATCTAAAATACAAAATTTAGCATAAACGATAGATATATTTTAAGATCTTCTTTAAGAGTTACCATCACACTCTAAGTTAAAATGTGTCGGGTGTGTCGTGATTTACAACACATTTCACGACACATTCACGCACGACACGAGGTGCTTGTTGCGACACATCCGACATATTCCGAAATCACGGTTCGAGTCTAGGTTTCACCGTATCTATATATTTTTTTCTTTCATGCATTATATCCATCAATATTTAATTGGTACAATTAACATCAGTGTTTGATGCAATACTGTAAAATAGCCAGACTTTGAGATCCAGCTATGTAAGGCTAGTCAGATCTTGGTCAGACTACTGTCAGGTAGACCTCTCCTAAAGCGAGGTCATTATTTCTCGAAATATTTACGAGAAATATATTATATAAAATGGTGCACGAAAACTAGTGATTCTCATGTGATGGTTCAGATCCATTATATATAGATAAACACGCGAAACAATATGGTGAATGAACAGTCGTCATATATGTACAGAACGGTTAAAAATGTGACACATTAAAGTGCGACACATTTTCTTGCTGGTACCCACAACACTATAATTCACGACGGAAAAAGTCGACACATTTTAACTTAGAGTACAAGTATTCGTCGATTTAATAAACACTCGTGGATCAATTTGAAATCCTTATTATGAAGGTGATACCATGTGACCTTCATTGGTGGAAGTTTATCCAAAACTAAGATGATTTGTTCAACAATAATAACTTCTTCTTTTGTTTTAATATCGATGTTGTATTTTGGACCGATGAAGTATATAACTTTAATTTCATCAGTGCCAATATCAGACACCCGTGCTAATCGATAGGATCCTATTGAAAATTATCATTGCATATTATTCATATGATAAATATTTTTTTCTTACCATTTGAACAAGAAACAACAACAACATCATATACTTTCAATACACCTGAAGAAACACTTGGTAAAACACTAGATGGAGAAGTTGTTGTAGGATTATTATAACCAGTAGCATCACTTGTACTTATTTTCTCGTGTGATGCTTCGTTTATTAAAGGTGCAACAACACCTGTAACACTTTCAGTTGGCATAACAATTACTTTTTAAACAAAACACATGGACATTAATATGTTTATACTGCGCTACAAAAACAGTTTTCATAGATGCGAAATAAGAAGTGACCATTGGTCATTTATTGATTTGTTAATTTATTCACCACTAAATAGATTAATGTAGAATAGTGTCATCTGCAACAATTTCTGTTGATATAGATGATATATAAAAAATATGTCATGTAAGTTTGAAATACAAAAGACATTTGTAATTTGTTCTCTAAATGAAACAAATTATCTTAGCCTATTTGAAAAGTTCCTAAGAAATCAATTTGATAATTTTCAAATCGATGCAACGACGAAAAATTTTCTTTAATTTAAAACATTTTTCTTTTTTCTTTGGTTTTAAAAAATCTTAATAGAATTTTTTATTGGTTATTATTTTTATAAATAATATCTCAGTCAACAATTCTTAATAAAAACTGGTGAAAATCTAAGAAATCAGTTTATCGAGTAAAGTTCTTCACTATAAAATCAAAGTTTAAGGATCTATTTAAGTTCTATAATGATCAATTTCAGCTTGGAAACTTAGGGTACTGGCATAGTCTCTTAAATGTGTCGATCGACAATGTATAATATTATATAATATTTAGATTCTATTTGAGTCAGTTAAATGCTTCTTTTTCAACTATTCGTCTATTAACTTTCTTATTAATAGAAGAGATTTCATTGAAAGTTTTCATTTTATTAATTCGTCTTCAATCTTTTCTCTGGACAAGCCACATATGTACGATGTAGATGTTCTTTTTTTTTGGTTTCAATATTGAAAACGAGCATGCTGCTCTGCCAAAAATGATCTATATCGATGATATACATACGTTTGTTTTAACCCTATTTCCGAAATATTATGTCTTACAGAGAGATGAAGAGAATCCTGTTGCGATAGTATTTTCTTTGATTACGTATGTTTTAGATAAAGTGTTCATTAATAAAAAAATTTTCGTCTTAAACTAATAAGATAGTTTTTACTAATTTATTTTCAAAATTCAAATATAAAAAACTTGATCGAACAAACGTTTTCATCCACTTAAAGTTACAAAACGAAAAAAAAATTGATGTTCTATTCAGACATCTAAGAGAATTTAGAATTGTTCTCATGAAAAGAAAATATTTTGAAACTTCATTTTAATATCTTTAATAATTCTTTATTGTGATTTGAAATTGATATTAAAAGCAAATGAATGATATTGTTGTAATAAGTGTAATTATTTTGTGAGAACAACTGAATTTTTATTTCTTGTATTGAAAATCTCATCTTGCTGACACAAGTCCTTAACTGATATCGATAGAAAGACTTGAAGTTAACTGTAATGCAGATCTAATTAACACTAACTGTAATAGAAAGAACATCTCGGGTAGAGCAAAAACAACTGAATAAGATAAAAACAAGCTGGCCATCCACAGTCTCGAAAAAAAATTAATTTCTTCAATTAATGTGCTGCATAGCATTCAGGATTGAGCAATCAATCTCAGGAAAATATCTTCCAAAATTCAATAAAATCGTCTCCTACGTGCTTGGGTGTGGAGAGGTAAATTCTTCATGTTTGCACACTAGTCATATAAAGACTATTATTAGTGGCATACGAGTAAACCCCTCCCCATAATAGAAGCCCATCCCATATTAGAAGCCTCTCCGTATTAGAAGCCTCCTCTGGAGGATTCGATATGCCAGACATATTAGAAGCCCCCTTATTTTAAAAACTTTTTGAGACTTTTTTGAAAACATTTTTTAGTATTTTCACAGCAAAACTTAAAAAATTACAAAATTTTAAGGTAAAAATGCGCTAAATTCTTAGTTAACCGTGTTAAAATCTCAAAAACTCCTTCAAAACCCTCAAAAATCTGTAAAAAACTCTGAAAATCCTATTAAGACTTTTGAAAAACTTTAGTACCTAAAACCTTCGAAAAATCATAGGACATAATAGAAGCCCCCTCCAAAAAATTTTTATGCTGGATACTTTAGAAGCCCAGAGGGCTTCTAATATGAGGGGGGGTTTAATGGAAATTTGGCCGCAATGATGCCTTAATCGATTTCTGTAAGATTTTTATGTAAGAATATGTTTTATAGGGCGTATAGTAGTGACATCTTTTCCAATGATGAGAAAAATAAGTTAAAGCTTTGAATAAAGCAATAAATATTAGCAAAAAACTTTAATAGAAAATCTTGAAGAAGATTTTATAAAAAAAAGCTAATGAATATTTGTCTAATTAGTACAAATAATGGAGTCATTTTTTTTAAAACTTTTACTTTTATTGTTTGGATTCTGATCGTTGTTCTAGAGAAGAATACAATAAAGAGAAAATGTCTGCAAAAAATCAAGGCAACACCTTTCGAGTAAAAATTCTAGAAAATATTAATAATCAATAAATTCTTCTTATTTGGTTCTAGCTTGAAGTGCTAAAAGCTCGTGGCAACGGAGTGTTGACAAGCATTGATAACGTATATTTATCATCTATAGATTGAACTTATGTTAAATTTTCCTTTTATTTTTAAAGATTTCACCAGATACAACAATTGCTGAATTAAAAAAACGAGTTGCTCAACAAAGTAAATTTTTAATGAATAGTATAAGTAGAAAAAAAAATTTTTATTTTAGAATCACAACTTTATCCTGATCGTCAATCATATCGAGCCGAACCAAGTAAAACAAAAAAGAAGCTATGATTGATTTTGATTGATTAATTTTATTTTAGCTGGAAAATCGGTGAAAGATACACAAAAACTATCTGAATTAAATGTTGATAAAACTAAAAAAATCTATTTTAAAGATTTAGGACCACAAATTGGATGGAGCACGGTAAAAATCTTATTTGTTTATTTATTTATCTATAAATAAATATTTATTGGTTAGGTATTTGTTGCTGAATATGCAGGTCCATTGTTCATGTATTTATTATTTTATATTCGACCAAGTTTTATTTATGGTTCATCAGCTGGTTCAAAACCAATGCATTTTGCCGCTCAGTTAGTTAAAATTTATTTAAGAAAAAAAAAAGAATCAAAAATTTTGTTTTTGTATTAATAATTTAGTTTGGGTGCTGCTTGTTGGACATTTCATTATGCAAAACGTATATTAGAAACACTATTTGTGCATCGTTTTTCGCATTCGACAATGCCATTATTTAATTTATTTAAAGTAATTAATTTTTTTTAATGTACTAATTAAAATAAAAATAGTTCTATTTTTCTATAATAGAATTGTAGTTATTATTGGGGTTTTACTGCATTAGTTTCATATTTTGTTAATCATCCAAAATATACACCACCATCATTTGGTTATGCTCAAATTTATTTAGGTTTAGCTATATTTATTGTAAGTTAATTTTTGTTTTAAAATAAATCTAATAAAATAAATTTAGTTAAATGAAATTGGTAATTTATCAATTCATTTACTTCTTCGTGATCTTCGTCCAGCTGGTACAAATCAACGTCGTATACCATATCCAAATAAAAATCCTTTAACAAATTTATTTCATTTGGTATCATGTCCTAATTATACATATGAAATCGGTTCATGGTTAGGTTTTTCATTAATGACACAAACATTAACAGCACTTTTATTTACATTTGCTGGAACTGTACAAATGACTATTTGGGCTACACAAAAACATCGAGCTTATAAAAAAGATTTTCCTGATAAATATCCAAAACAACGCAAAGCGATTATTCCATTTTTAATTTAATTTAAAAAGAACATCAATAAAGACAATTATTTTTCTTTTTTTTCTGTGTGTGTATCTCGTCAGGTTTATGTCAAAGTTTAGAACAAAAAAAAAACACAACAAAGGATTTCTTCTGTCTTATCATTTACTTTAAAATAAAAACAAAAAGAAACCAATTCGTTTGCATTTCCTTTTAGATCGTTAGGAATTAATCAAATGAATATTTATTATTTTTTTCAATAAAATATAAAATAAAAATAAGTGAAATAATCATTTTTATCTAAAGAAAAAGAAAATAATATTTTAATTTCTATAAATTGTATATATAAGTATAATTTCTGATGTAATATTGCATCATTGATGTTATGCAAGAAATTTTCTATATAAATATTATAAATGAAATCATTTCGAATATTTATTTATTAAAGATTTATTTTAAAAAATGAAAGAATTTACCGTAATATTATATGCTGGTGGAAATAATCGTTTATCAACAGATTTATCAATTCCAAAAGCATTATTACCTATTGGAAATCGTCCATTAATATGGTTTAGTCTTGAAATAATTCAATCTCATCCATCTCTTGCATCATCACCATTATTGATATTAACATCAGGACAATATCGACAAATACTTGATGATTATCTTTCAACATTAAATATAACATATGAATTAATTGTTTATCGACAACATCATGAATCAACAAGTGATGATCAACAACAAATTCAAGATGAATTAGGTACATTAGATATTCTTCGTTCGTGTTATTCTCGTATTCGAACTGAATCAATATGTCTTATTAGTTGTGATCTTTTTGGAAAAGTTAATCTTACATCATTAATTAATATGTTTAGAGTAAGAGATGCATCTTTATCTATGCTTTTAATTAAAACAATAATACCATCAACAACTGGAAAAGAAACAATTATACAACCTGGACAAAAAATTAAATTTACCACAGGTTAAATCAATTAATATATTCATTAATTTCATAATTAATATATATTTTGCATTTATAAGTATTTATTAAACAATACATTTACATCGAGATCTTTTTTTTTCCTTTCAACAACAAATATGATGGAGCTATTTTCCCTTACCTCAACTAATTAAATAGGATCAAGAATGACAGAATCATACTTGAGTATCAATGTTTCAGTAGTCGATTTATGAGTATTGTACAGATTGATTGCTTTTCTCTATCTAAATATGGTTTTTTTTCAATAGGAAAAGCTCAAAAATAAGTCGATATAACCTTTAATGCTTTTCAAAAGACGTATTTTCGAATAATTATTTATTTGTCCTCTTGATAACATTTAAAATTTAATAGTGTTATGCCTTTGTCGAAGTTCTGAGTGTCTCTACAGTTAGAAACGTAAGAGATTTTGCACACTAATTGAATATTTATGAATTATAAAAGTAACTTTTCTCAATGGTAGAATCTAATCTTGAAACTTTGATTTTTGTTTTCAATTTGCCATGTATTCGTTTGTTATTATTCCTAATCTTTCATTTATTGATTATTTCATCTTAAAAAAAAAACATTTCAGTTATTTCTTTAGTCAGAATATTTTACTGTTTAGAAAATGAGAGGAAAAATTGATATGTAAACAGCGAGAAAGCAAAAATTCAGCGTTACGAAAATTGATCGAAAATTTTGTTATAAAAGAACCACAGCTTGTTATTAAATATAGGCTCTAAGTCTTAAATGTAAAAGCAAAATTTACACTAATTATATTAATTAAAAAAATATTCTAATGTTATAGAGATCTAATCATTTAGACAAATAAGTTCCACAAATAGAAAAAAGCAATTGTAGTTTAGAAACTATGATAAGATCTTGTAATTGCTGTAGTAACATTTCCTGTCTTGTAGGCTAGACTGCGTGTGACGGTAAGTGCAAGGTTGTAGGAACATTCTTGAAGCAGACAACCTTACTACAGTAATTGAAAGGACTGACTCATAGTTTCTAAACTGCTATTGCTTTTTTGTATTTGTGAGACTTATTTGTCTAAATGATTAGATCTCTCTAAGATTAGAATGTTTTTTTGATTAATATAATTAGTATAAATTTTGCTTTTACATTTAAGACTTAGAGCCTCTGTTTAAGAAAAAGGTGTTGTTCTTTTATAAAAAAATTTTCGATCAATTTTTGTAGACCCGTAAACAGCATTTTTGAAACTTTCCTTGAAATAAACCTAAAAGTATTTTATCAGATGTGAGTTCCATTATAATAAATCTGATAAAGAGTTTTGACTTGATTGTTCTTACTTTTATTTACCCTTAGCAAAAAAAAGCAAGGAAGAGTTTCTATTTTAATACATAAAATGTTAAACTTGATGTAAAAAAATAAGCGAAATCTTTATTGTTGTTCAAACTAATCTTTGAATAAAGAATTCGACAAAAAAAAACTTGTTTAAATAATATAGAAGTGAACTATAAAAGTATTTTTTTATTATAAAATAGAACCTGAATTCTACACAGTTGATCAATCAACAAATCGAGTTACGTCAATACGATTAAAAGCTGATTTAGATGAATATCTTCCATTAAGACAAAATATTCTTGCTAAGTAAAATAATAAAATAATAATAATTAATTTAAAAACGAAAAAATTTTATAAATAAGATATCCTCGAACAATAATTCGAACAGATTTAGTTGATGCTCATTTATATTTAATAAAAAAATCCTGTTTGGATATTGCTATTCGTTCCGATTATTCATCATTTCGTAAAGAATTTCTACCAAAAATGATTCGACAAATGGCAATTGATCAACCACTTGAAGATCTTATATCAACACCTGCTAATAGAACGACGATGATTCGACAACAAAGTTTGTTTTTTTTTTTCGTTAAAATTTTAAATATTTAATTTAATTTTTAAAAAACCTAGCTACTGACTTGGATGATAATGCTGATTTATCAAGACTTTTAGAAGAATATGATTGTGATAATCAAGAAATAAGAGGAGGATGTTATTACTCTACTGATGAAACACAAATATTTCGTGTTAAACATGTTCTTTCGTATCTTGAAGCTAATCGACAAGTCATTTATTAATATTATTTTATTTTATTATTATTAATTTTTTTTTTGTTGTAATTTTCAAGGCATCATCACTCATTTTATCTTATACCAATGAAGATATTACATTTAAAGAGCGACTTGAACAGATTCAAGTAAATAATTGTTTATTTAAAAGAATATATTTCTATATATGTTAACATTTTTTATTTTTTTTTAATAATAAAATAAAATAATAGATTAGTTCTGATTGTATCATTGGTGATGGACATGATATAGGAAAGAAAACAACAATTAGACGAACTATTATTGGAAAAAATTGTCGAATTGAAGATAAATGTAAAATAATAAATTGTGTTCTATTAGATAATGTTCATGTTAAAGAAGGGTAAAAATAATAAATAAATCAATTTATTTTATTTTTTTCATTATTTAAGAGTAACTCTTCAAAATTCTATAATATGCTCTCGTTCAACAATCGGATCAAAATGTGAAATTCAAAATTCAATTATTTGTTCAAATCAACAAATTGAAGGAAATAGTTAGTTTTATTTTTCTCGTTTTTTATTAAATCATCAAGTATTCTTTTGTTTTTTTTCTTAGGTAAATTAAATGGTGAAACAATATCAGCTATAAATCATGAATCTGAAGTTTATATGGTATATGATGATGAACAATAATCATTCAATCATCTTTCTTTTTCGAAATTTTATGCTGAATAAAAACTTTTTCTTTTATATCAATATTCATTCAAGAAAAATAAAAGACAATCAAATATAGAAACTAACTAGAAATAGACAAATTTTCAAATAACATAAGTCTATTCTATATTTAGGTATAACATATATATACAGAGATCTAACTAGAGGGAAGTGAGACGTTACGCCCCCCCCCTCCCTGCTTCTAAAATTTCCGTTTTTTTGAACAACAAAATAAAAAAAAAAGCTCTTTTTATCGGTTATAGCTGTTGAATTGATACGAATGAATACCTTACACTTTCCCCTGCTTTCGAGACTTTGAGCTGTTGGGAGGTTACGCCTCCTGCTCTGGATACCTAGGTACGCCTCTGCCTATATATATATATATATACTTGTAGACAAACAGAAAATAGTGATATAGAGAGGAAAATGACATTCGTACACAATGATTCTCAAAGACGAACTGCAGGATTACTTATAGATTATGGTATTGTAAGAAATGATTGTTAGTTGTGAAAGAATTCAAAGTTCATTTATTTCCGATAACAGTGTAAAGTGATGTCATGATGTTGTCATAAAGGTGTATCTTTTTTGAATCAAGTTAGTTGATAAGAAAAGATAGTTATAACATCATTATACTATCATTTTTACCACATTTCTATTTTATTACATAAACAATAACACATCTAAACACCAAAGTATTCTATATAATAGAGTTTGTTTTTTAGAAGAATTCATAACAAAAATATATTCGTTTTTTTCAAAAAAAAAAATGGCAAGAGTTGGACCATTGATATGGTTTTGGTCTTTAGCTATATTACCATTGACTGCTATTGTTACATTCATTGGGACATTGGTAATATGCTCTCAAGTTCCAAATAATGCACCGGCAGGCGAAAAATTTCCTCAAATATCTCAACTTGGTACTGGTCAGGCATATCCTTATTTTGTTGGTGGATTTATTATTTTATCAGTTCAATTATTTATAATTCTTCTTGGTCGAATTCAATTTCTCTTTCAAACTCAATATATTATTCATCGAGGTATTATAGGTATTGTTCACGCTCTGGCCCTTCTTTCCATTGTTTTTCTTATTATTATGGCTACTGTAAGTATCGATGCACGTCCTCCGATTCATCTCACTGGTGCATTTGGATTGTTTGGACTCATATCATTGTATTGCTTTCTTCATACGGTTATCATCGTCTATCTTTTTATACATCAATCAGATGCTCCACAACATTCGAATATTATTTTGCCAATATGGTTTCTTGTCTGTAGTTTATTGCTTATTGCCTTTTTTGTTGTCTGGCTCGTAATTAAAAAGGGCATTCCAGAATATATTGCTGCTGCTACACCATTTCTCTATATAGTTGGTTTTGTACCACAGTTTTGGATGCAAGCAAGAGCGAAAAAACGAGAATCTGTTTTATTGTCAACAGTATCATTCACGAGCCAACTCAGTGTATGAACATTGTTTTTATTCTTATATGTATTAGTCTTTTATCTAACGAGAATATATTTATTATATTGTTCAATCTTATAGACTTGACACCATCTTTTGAAGCTGAACAGACATTTGGAAGTTTCTATTGGATAAATTTTTGAGCTTTCTTTCACTTTTATGAAAAAAACTCTTGTAAAACTTGATTGTTTAGATTCACAGGTCGGAGCGAAGACGTTTTCGCTTCGTTCGTTTCGACCTGGATTGATGTATCATTATCATCAAAAATTGTTTGCGATAACAATAGAAATCTTTTTGAATGGAGAAGGGTGAAGATTCACGTAATTCTCTTAGAAACAATTTAGCACGTATAAATACCTACAAATTAATTTTTTCTATAGTTTCTATTATGAACAAATAGAGATTTATACTCGTTGATTCAATACATACATTTTGAAACATGTCAAAACGAGTCGATTCAAACGTGTTTTGGATTATCCAGAAACATTCAATAACGCACTTCATATGAAATCTGCGATAGAAATGAAAAGAAAACGAGAAATCTTAGTTTATATAAGTAATGAAATCTACACAATATTACTCAATTTGTTTTTATTATTGCAACATTTTGCTTAATGAAAGTAATCTGTTGTGGTAAGAAAGTTAAATCAATGAATAAGATCTTTATATGATAATTTAATTAATTATTTCTGTCCAATTGCACCTCTAATCTGTTTAAATGAGCATTTACCAATAAATAGAAGCATTAGTATTCAAGAAAAATCCAATCGAAAAGCGAAGATGTTTCACATAATTAAGAGCTAGAACGTCTATGACAACAGCAGAGATGTTCAAGGTGGCACCGCCGCGGTGGTAGCGGCAGTGGCAGGTTTTTGAAAAAATCATTGCAGTAGCTGCAGCATTTTTTTGAAGGACATTAAAAAACTGCATAAATTTAATAGAATTTCAGGATTTATAAATGAAACATCCTCAGACTGAATCAATCTTATGGACTAATACCAATATTTATGGTTAAATTTAGTCGCACCAGTCAAATTAGAAACACTTTTTTGAAAACCTCCGTGGCGATGACGCGTTTATTTTATACAATTCATCGCAACGCGATAGCAACGGATTTTCAGCCGCGGTAGATATCTCTGGACAACAGTGTGTATTCTTAGACAAAACTTCGAAATCATGCATCACATAAATACTAAGAATTCTTTCTACGGCAAATATATAAACAGTTTTAATAACGAAACAAAAAAAACAAGGAACTTTAACATATCCATTGATTCAATCGTTCGTTGAGAATGTAGACATAGGTTCATTGGATTTTATTCTCTTTGAGAAGAAAGTATCAATAGCAGATTGATGTTACTCAACAAATCTAGTCGATTTCGACTGTTCTTTTCCTTAAAAATTCACATAAATGATCTGAAACTGAGAAAAGAATCGAGTGCGGTTGTGGTTGTGGACGAATCAATAACTGACACGCATACTCTTCACAAGCTTCATCAAGCTCCGCAAGATGTTGATGAGACTTGAGAGATTTTGAGGATAATAATAAAATCTGCTATTTTCATCTTATTCAAATCATTAGAATAGAATAATCATTTGTTTCTAGTTTAGTCGAAAATTTGTTAAAATATGGTGTGTCCTAAAAGTTTTTTGGTTCGATTTCATTATTGACTGGACTTGATTGACTAATCTTTTTTTGGATAATAGATAAATGCACAGAGTTTTTATTTCTAAAGACGAACTTGAAAAGTATTTTGATTAAAGGTCTTAACTTTCAACAATGCTTTCAAGTTCGTCTTTAGAAAAAAAAATTTTGTGCATTTGTCTATTATTCAAAAAGAAATTAGTTAATAGTGAGAAATCGAACGAAAAAACTTTTAGGAGACATTGTATAATCTGTCAACTATTAGCGCACCCTACAGGACACAATTGAAAAGCAATTCTTGGACATTTAATTCTTTCGACTTAGAATAGATTGAATTTTTTTTTCAAAATTTCCTATATAGTTAAACTTCTTTTATATACTTAACAGCAATAAGAGACTTTCTGATTGGTCGTCTATCGATTACTTCGACAAGTCGTTGAAGGACAAAAAAAAATGATAAATATTTATCAGTTAACTTTACTTGACAGTTGCGTTTCAGTTAACTTTTCTGTTTTTAGGAATTTTTTTTTATATAATTGCTTTTAGGAATAAAACTAAGAGGGCCGTATCTTAGAAACCGTAGTATAATAATACGCAAGGAGAGCATAAGTAGTTAACTATTTAATGTAGAAACATGGCTCTTTTCTTCTTTGTCAAATTTTAGATAGGATTTTTCGATAAAAAAAAGCAATGGCTTCAACTACTGATGATGATGATGAAACTATTACAGTAGAATTTGGATGTGATTACGCTAAAAGTAGTAATGCAAAATGTCATGGTAAATATTGTGATAAAGAAATAACGAAAGGATCACTTCGTCTATCTCGTTTAATACCAAATCCATTTATTCCTCAATCATCAACACGTGAAGAACAATTAATGCCTGTTTATTATCATGTTGAATGTTTTATAAATTATTCACGTTCGGGAAATGAAAATAAAAAACGTGTACAAAATGTTGAAAAAGATTTTCAAGGTTTTAATGAATTAAAAAAGAAAGATAAAGATAAATTAAAAAAACTTTTTAATTATGAAGAAAAAATTCAAGAAAAATTATCTGAAACATCATCAACAGCTAATACAAATTATTTAGAACATGATCAAGATAAAAAATATTGGCAAATTTCTATTGATAATAAAACAACAAAAACAAAATATGGTTTATTAGGTGAACCAGATTCTAATGCAATTATTTTATATAAAGATTTTTCAACTCAATCAGAAGCAGATAAATATTTTGAGAAAAAAACAGAAGAAAAACTTAAACATGGATATACTATGAAAAAACAAACAGCTACTCGAAAGAATGATCAAACATCATTATCAACAACACGAAAAAGAAAACAATCGTCAACACCTCCAAAATCAACACCAACAAAACGACAAAAAACAACATCAACAAAACAACAAAAAACAACATCAACAAAAAAATCGACTAGTACAAGAAAACAACCGATAAGATCAACTAGAAAAAAAACAAAATAATCTCCCTATAAATATAAATAATATTATTTTATGTTTTTGTATATTATATTAATGACTGTATATAATCACTATTGTTCATCCTATTTTTTATTACTTTTATTGCAATTCAATTATTTATTAGATTAGATTATCTTTTCTCTTTTCAATTTTATTCTCACTTTTTTCAAACTTTTATTGTATTTTATGTTGTCTCTATTGATTATTATATTATATATATATATACATATACATATGTGCAATTGAAGAGAATAAATAACATATTTCGTAAAATAATATTATTTTGTCATTTTAGTAAATTAGTTCAAACAAGTATATCTTTTCCTTTCGTTCGAAAAGAGAAAAGGACAAGATTTTTATTTGATAATACCGATGACTAGAGGCCATTGGATCTTACCAGGATTCGGACCCAGAAATTCTTGAGCCCGATGGCCTCTGCCCATAAAAGATCAATTAATTAGGTCCGAATTCGACAATTTTGATCGGTTTGGTTCGAGTCAAAAAATTGTTGAACCCGATGGGCTCTACTGAGGACTGCTCTTACATCATATAATCTTCTAACTCTGTCGAACCGAAAGTATATTATAATTGATCAGTAGTTTCACTTTTATATTCGAATAAAACTGAATCTTGATTAAGAATATAAATAACTATGTTTATTGCATTCATTTATAAGAATAGAATATTTTGTATAAATTGACTTTTTTATATTCGATGTCATTATTTGAAAAAAAAATTGACACAGACAGCATTATTTATTTGAATAAGTCTTGAGAAACTGTGAATCTTATAATTTGTAGGAATATATCTTGGTTTAATTTAAAATAATAAAATGATTTCTATATTTTTGTATGCAATAAAGTTTTGTTTGAGTGATAGTAAGGTCACTTAGAATATTAATTAATTTTAAAAAATGAATGCATTATCATCAGTACTGCTAACTATAAACGGATGGTTTTATATAAATAGTGATCAAGAATGACTGTTTATAAATATAGATAAAAAAAGGTTCGACCCATCCAAGTTAGTTGATATTTATTTTAATCAATAAATTTATTTTTTTTTTATAAACAAAATAAAATTTTTCATCTTACAAAGTAGTTTTAGAGAAAAAAAGTATGATGTTGTGTTGAAGTCAGTTTATATGAGAATGGATTTGTCTTTTATGCATCGAATTCTGTATATCCAATGGATAGTTCATTGTTCTAACTAACACGAGAATCAGCTGCCTTTCAAATCGAATACTCTATTAATCAATTATTAACGATCTCTCTATGCAGATGGAAATAAACAAAGACTATTGTTCAATTGAGAAAATATAATACTTGTCATATAAGTATCCTTAAATCATCTGAATTTGATTATGTAATCTCTTATTTGATAGTTGTTTGTGACCACATTGCTATGCTGAAACTTTGGTGAGTAAGTGAATATAACATAAAGAGAAAAAGAATTTCCTTCTTTCAAAGCTTTTACTATTCATTATTTAAAAAAAACATTAAAAATAGTGTTCACTACATGTATTTTATTTGATAAATGACATTTAGCTTTTATTCTTATAATACAGAAAGTTATTCAATAAGAAACGATTTCCAATATAATCAAAATCGCATAAAAATCGGCAATTTTATCACGATTAAATCACCTAAATGGACGATCTCTTTTCCGATTTGCATAAAAAAATTGCGATTAATCTAGAATTTAAAAAGAATTAATGAATGAGTAACACTAATAAACTTTCCATAAAGAATTTTTCTAGGGAGTTCCTTAAAAAACTGCCTGAGTAATAATGATTATAGTAAACTTTTTCTATCTAAATGGAATAAGATAAAGTTTTTTTCCATAATACTTACTGATGAAATAATAATAATTATTAATCGAAATAAAAAATCTTATTTATTTTGTAAAATCGTTACTTCCTAATGAACTTGTTTTTAACTGATTATAAATTGTCGACTTTTTTCGAGTATCGTGATTAACCACCAAAACTGGTGTGATATTGATGATGCGAGGGTTTTTTTCTGATTTAGATATTTAATTAAAAAAAAATGAATAACATTATTCAAAGGTCATTTTTTAGAAAAAAAAACAATTAGAAAAAAAAAAACTTATATATGAAATAAGAATGTGTTTTATCTACAAATCATAATAAGATTTCATTGGTTTGAAAAACTATACAAGACTTGTGTCAAAATAAAACAATCATCTATTCTTAGAAAAGTTCATTGATTATCTATTATTACTTTTTGAGATAGAGTGTATATATCTTTGAAAACGATTAGAGAATAACCTGAATAACAAAATGTCCCAAAAACTTTTTACTGATAAGTCGAACATAAAAGTGAATTTTTCTTTTCCTTTTCTTCTTATAGTTTCGTTGTGGCATTGTCCTTTTTTCTAAGAGGATGTTATACATACTTACAACTTCTATCAAAATGCGTAAATAAAATTGTTTGTTTTTTTTTACAAGTTTTCTGTACACTAAAATAAAGAAAAAAACAGGATGTCTTTATTTCTGTATATTCGATTGTATTTGAAATTTTATCATATCTGAGATATAACAAGAATAGTGTCGATGTTTAATTATCTCATTTATTCTAATTATTTAGATTTTTTATATTTCTCTATTTATTCATGAAATATTGACATTTTTTAAAACTAGGAATGTTTATTTCAGTTGCTTACTATCAATCAGAATGGCTATGATTTTTTTATAATAAAACAACGTTTATAATAAGTCTATCCGATAAGGTTACTTTTCTAGTTTTTCATATAATAGAAAAATCTAATAAATGTAACTATAATAAGAAAATTGATCCATGATTTTATTTCGTTATATCTATTTTTGTCGCCAGGTTGAAGTTCCATTCGGATCCGATCTTTCCTAATAGGATCTACATGCTGAATTGAAACATGTGAGAATATAAGAAATAATTGAAGATATTAATAACGAAAATGAAAAGAAAAAGAGTAGATATATTAATAAGTTTTTCTCTTCGAGATGTAATATGATATTTCGTAAAAAATATTTTTAATAGATAAAGGATAGACGTGAATAAAAAATTTATTTTCATTATTCAAATAGTTTCCTTGTCTTTCACATTTCAATGTTTTATGAATTGAGTTGAACACTTTTCTTATCTGAATAAACTCTTTATTAAGTTCGAAATAAATAAAAATCATTTATTTATTTATCTGAAGATTTTGTTCGAGATAGAACTTTATCTATAATACTACAATCTATGAATACATTATAAAACTGTTATAGAAATAGAAAAAATTTATTTATTAAGGTACATTTTACGTTCTTTTTTAACAAATAATAATATAGAATAAAACAAAGTCATCTGATCAGTTCCTAGGTTCGAACATATTGTGATGGATAAAATTTCTATTTTATTATAGAAATCTATATATAACAAGTTCGAGAATACTCATAACAAAAATTGACTTGAGGACAAAAAAGAATGATATAATGTCAGATTTTATTTGAATGATAGTTTTCTGAAATGGTTAGTCATTTTTGTTAATTAAATCATATCTTAACCATCTTTCCCATGCCCATGGTATACCAAATTGTAATTGATGTGTAATTGATAATAATTGTTGTAAGCAACAATATCTTTGATTAATAGATGAACGAATAGTTGATGGTCTATGTGAACCAAATTGTATTATTCTAATATATTTAGTTAAATTTGTATTGATTAATCTTTCAATAACATCATATTCACAACCTTCACAATTAAGATGTAATAAATTTAATTCTCCATTAAAAGTAATATTATCTATCTTTGATAATATATTAAATTCGAATAATATTTCTGCAATATCTCTTAAAATTAACTTATATTTTTGTTGATTATCAATATATTGTTGATTATCTTGTTTTCCAACTAAAGTAACAGCTTCTGATTCTTGAATATCTTTCAATGTTACATCAATAAGATGATTTTTATTTGATAATCCAATATGATAGATATGATGTTTACCTGTATTTAGTTCTCGTAATATTTTATCAGAATGAATTAATTTATCATAAAATTGTAAAACTGGTTCTAAAAACCAGACATGACAATATTGATATTGTTTAATAAATTCAATTCCATCTGTTCCAGCTTGATTAGCTCCAACATATAATATCTGACATTGATTTTTTGATGAAATTAAATTTGTAAAAGGTTTTAAACGATCATCTTGATTCCAATAAAGTGAAATATTTAATGTTTTATCAATAGTTTTCAATTGATTTTTAAGAAAAAAATATGTTTCAATACCATTTGCAACGTTCTCATTAGGTACTAATTCGATAACATGTTTATAACATTTTTTATATGAATCAATTGATGTTTTACATGTTGAATTATAAATATTTCGATTTTTATCACAAAGAATATTCTTACTATAATTAAATATGAATATTAATAAAACCATTGATAGGAAAGTGATTTTTGGATGAATACATATTGTAATTCGGAATCGCATTCGAAATATAAAATAAATATTTTTTGTTAAAATTCTATTAATTAAAAAATAATTTCATTTTTAAATTCAATTTTTTAATTAAAAGATAATTATTAAATAATTCTTAGAATATTTTATTCAGTTTAGAATAAAGATATTCGATTTTTAATTCTCATATTAACCATTGATTTTCTTTTTCGAAAAAGAATTTTTTTGTCAAATAAAATATACCAAGAATAATTAAGGAAAAAAAAAATGAATAGTTACAGAAAACATTGTTTCTCTTAACAAAATAAACCTATGAAATTTAAATTTTATTTTATTTTGTTTAAAAAAAGGATCTACAAAGTAAAATAGTCTAGTTTTAAAATATCCAAGATTTTATTTAAATATGTTGATTATGGATGAATTAATACTAAAAAACATTTTAGAATTAGAAGAAAATAAATGATAGTTAATATTCTATGATATATAACTAATGTTTATCATCTTCATAATTAGAAAGATCATAGGTCTTTCTATTATAATAAGATTTAGATTATCAATCGTGAAAATATACCAACCGTAAGTGAAATATATTTGCTAATTAGAATATTACGGCGGTACGATGCCGTGTTGTACACGATAAAATATACACAACGTTTACAGTGACATTCGTTCTATAAGTCACTTTTATTTTAAATGAGCACAGAAATATAAATTTACTTTGAGGAGCATGTTTGCATGTAATTAACCCTATTCAACCGTAACGACAGTCATGTATAAAACATTACTTCTTTACGATAACTAATGACGTAACCAAGGATGGACTAGACCGAGTGTCCTCCTATCACTGATCATCTTTTTTCTATCGACAGAAAAACGTTAGAATTGTCATCCTTGACACTTTATTCTATGAATTTCCTCCAAGATCGTCGGACACACTTCCATACCATCTGCGATCTCATAGTTACGGCATTGATGATAATATTTATGCACTTATATCTATATCTGATGGATAGATTCTCATATATTTATATTTAAAACTATCTCATTATTACTTTTCTCTACGTTTATATGCATGTTTTTTTTTTAGTCGTGGACAATTGGACCAATCGATGGGGAAATTGTTCCTGTTTAAGAAGTAATGGTTCACCTCACAAAAAGTTACACATATCAAAGAAAAATGAAAAAAAAAAGAATATAAACATATATTTATCATATTTAATTTACCATAAAGAAATACTTGCAAAAGAAGAAAGAGAACGAAAGAATCCAACTATATATCTACCAATCTCTACTTCACGCTCTATTTTTCATTTTTTATTTCTGATTATTAACGTTAACATGGATGAACGATTTCTGACAGAAATATTTACATTTATGCTCTGAAAAAAATCGATTTCTTCTTATAGTGAAAATATAATTTTGTTTCATTTCTCTTTGTAAGGATGAATATGATTCATGCCTTACTAATTGAATATATTTTGTGGTGGATTATATTTCGCTATGAAAAGTGTTTCCACTTGACTTCATATGAGGTAAAGGATTTCTGCTATAAGTGAAACAATTTCTCGATTTTGGGGAATATCATCCAGCTCTCTAACTTGCTTGTAACAGTTATATAATAATGATCAGTAATATCAGTCTTAAAAGGTCCCCTTCAAAAAAGTCACTTTTCGTCAAAATCAACGAAATTAAGATAAATCCAGGGAAAGATAGCCCGTCATCTCATCTTTCATATACAACAAAAATTTTTACTCGGCACTTCGTTTTTTCCAAAAATTTTTGAAGATTTCCGTCGCTTCCTATTCGAAAATTAAGCTGTTTTTGAAAAAAATAAAAAATCTTTTTCGTTTTTTCTCGTTTTATAGGTTTTCGATCGTGTCTCCAAGATTTCTCTAAGGTACCTCATTGTAGCTAATTGTATTTTATTTTCTTTGAAAGCTTGTGCTTAGGGCTACCCCCCTCGGAGTCCTTATATTTCCATATAAGAAAATACCTCTATAAAAACAGCGTCATTTTTTAAAGATTTTATTGAGTCATTAAACTTATCGTCCTTTTTTTTCTTAAAAAGTAAGAATTTAAAAAGAAGGACCACGAGAGGGGCTAACCCTATAGACAACCTATTAAACGAAAAAAATTTAAGTGTATAAAATGAAGACCCACAGAGAAATCTTGGAGATACCGAAGAGCTATTTTTGACCTTTGTTTGGTGAATATCTCTGTCAAACCCCATGATATAGACCTGAAAATTTTACCATAGTCATGGTTCACCAGCGCCGACATATCCTCAAAGTTTCATGTAATTCGCATGTTCCTGGCCTAAGATCGAATTTTGAACGGAGGGAGGGGAGGTGGTGGATCTTAATATATCGTTCTCTAACACAGACAGATAATTTTGACCGATTTCTAAGAAGTTCAAATTATTGAAAAAAAAGTTTTCAGATTGAAATACGAATCGTTTAATAAACCATATAGAGTTGATCTAAGTGATGTCGTATAAAGTGATTTGAAGGTCTTTTACATTTGTCATCTTGTTAGGACATGAATGATTGTCGTGTTGTACTATAATTATTTGCTATACGATTTTGTCTATGAACAATGACGTATCAGTCGATTCCATCTGATAATAAAAGAAATAGTAGTTTTTATTGTAAGTAATGAATATGCGATTTAATAGTTCTTATCGTTGTCGTTGCTGATTGATTGATATTGTGTATAAAATTCAGTTTAAACGATATTTTATGCAATTAATTTTCTTTTTTTAAATAAAATAAAAACTTCAGTGTTCATTGTGTAGATTTTTGACAAAAAATTAATTTCTTGTTAAAAAATGTTTGATATCTGGTTAATGAAATGGTCGTCAAAATTCCTAACGTATTCTATGTGACGATTTTTTTCTAGAGTAATTCTTAGATCTTTCAATGATTTGATTTTTTTCTGATAAAATTCTAAAAATATGTTTAGAACAGAATGAAAGGTGAAACTATTTATTTTTATATTTACATTTATTTTATTTTAATATTAAACGAAAAACTAGAAAAGTATCGTTATTATCACCCTCAATCTTGATGTTGACTATATTAGTTCATCACTTCAATTCTATCCCACATTAGATATAGAACACAACATTATCTATAGAAGAGATCAATCGAAGAGAATTGACAAAATAAAAAAACAAAAGGAAATGTTTATAGAATAGAAAGAGTGAGGTAATTCATAGGAATATTAGGATGTTCTTCATGCTTTTCATATGTCACAACCAAGGAAAGATTCTTATCACATCTGTTTTTTTTTTGAAAGAAAAAAGAACGATGTATAGTAGAGATAACATTATTACAAGTACAAACAAGTGCAATTAATACTGGAAAAATACATTGGTCTTAGCTGATATGCAGAGATATATTCATAGATCTGATATGAGCATACCATTTTTATTAACATAACAATCCTATTGACAAATCATACTTCTCGAACATTTTATTTTTTAATATTTTCATTAAATAAATTAGCAGAATATTATTCTTTAGTCAATATCTATGAAAAAAAACCATTTTAGAATGGATTTCTAGATAAAAATTTGATATGACAAAGTAAATGTGACACTATCAATGAGAGCATTATACGCGTTTGATTTATTTGGTTGACACCATTAGTTATATTGATCATATGTCAAATACATGTTTATGTATAAATCCATAAAGAAAGGACATCAATCGTAACAATCACCAAAAGAAGAGGATAGTAACACAGCAAAGTTAGTCATATGAAAAAAAAACATTTCGAAAAACGAATAGAAAAATATATAAAGATAAAAATAATTCATTTGATCAGAATAAATTCAATCAGTTGATGTGAAAATTTCGACATAGAGAATTCCTAACTAAATATATTTCATAATTCAATTCTTCGCATCTAACTAGTAGCTTCTTTATATTTCGACAATACTAGCTAGTAGATTTGAATATTTAAAAAAAAAAATTTTTTTCATCTTATTCAGATAGTTCTTTGTCAAATAAAGTTAGGAAATTTTTCATCGGAGAGGTGAGAAGAAATTGTGTCCATATCTTTAGTCAAATCGAATACAATGATAGAAAAGGATTTTTTCTTTAGTTTTGAAAAACCTTGGCGTTTGAGAGTCAAGAGAGTCGATAGTGAATACCTTTGAAAATTGATCAATTTGTCTGATGTAAACAGTCTTAATAACAATATTCAAATGTTAGGAATGTTTGTCTGCTGGATAAGGCACCTATCTTTGACATTAATTATTGAAAGTTAATAATGATGTCTTGTGTATTATTTACTTTCCTATCAGAAGAAAAGGAAATCAACTGTGATGAATTAATGTTGTTTGGCTCGCACATATCTGTCTTTATATATGATCGACATATGCACTCATAAGAGTAGTGCAATGTGACAGGCTAAGAAAAACTTCGGAATTCAGTCTGACAAGATAAGACTATGTTAGATTGTAGAGTTGTTCAGAAAAAAAAAGAATTGATATGCAGTCAATGGAAGATTAACCACACTCAATTGGACTTTAAGATGAACCAGTTAGTTCGTTTGTTACTTGTTCGGTTTGGTTGAATTTTTACAACCGATCAATTTCGATCACTTTTTTGTCAAGTTTGATACTACTAAAGCTATAGACATTTTTGCTCGTTTTTATTGATTTTCATAAGTTTAACAATTGATAAATATGAGTTGAAAAGTTTCTAACTGACAAAGTTTGAATTGAAAATGTTAAGATTAGGCTTTCTAATTGTACAGTAAAGATGTTGAATAATATCGAATCTATTGATTATGGTTATGAAACATAATATACTCATAAATATTTATATTTCGATCTAAACTAAACATTTTCCATCTTGAAATTTTTTTAGTCGAATTTTAACTAATTGTCAGAAACTCTCAATAGATAAGACTTTCCATTATAAAACTATCAAAAAAATATTCGAAATTTTTTCTAAATGTCAGTCTCATTCAATTATGAAAATATATACCTAAGACTATAGAACAGATTTTTTTATTCCCAAATTAAAAGTTCTATAGTCAATGTTTACATGTTAAGTTAGGATATAATGATAAAAAACATCTTGGATTTACCTCAACTAAGAAATTTTCGCTAAAGCTTACTGTGAACAAATGTCTGAAGAACATTGAAATGTCATTGTGCAAGTTGAAGTTGCTGTGAAGTGGTAGAATCCTATCAAATTAAATACAGAGAAGATATTCCTTTGCTTGGATTTTTCCTTTCTCAAGCTCCGGAAGAAGTACTGTGCTCCATTTATGGATGTATCGTTTCACTATTAAATCAATCAGAAACTGAATATAAAGTGAAGGTTTTTCTTCTTTAGAAATCTAATTTTCGATTTTCATTAAATAAACCTAAGTAAAAAGTCAAAACTAAAATCAAATTTAGACTCAGTAAAATCGACTAGTGTCAGATGATATTTGTGTAGACAATGGATTTTCCTTGTTTCAGTTAATATTTATGTTAAGGTTCCCCCTCAAAAAAGTTAGGTTTTCGTCAGAATCATTGAAATTGAGATCAATAGATAGAAGGATAGTCTGTCATTTGTTCTTTCATAACCGATAAAACTTTTCTTCGATATCTCATTTTTTTTCCGAAAAATTTTCAAGATTTTCGACAACACCTCTTCGAAAAAGCAACAGTTTTTGGAAAAACTCAAAAATCTTTTTTTCGTTTTTTCTCAAAATGGTAGTCGAACGACGCATCTCCAGCGAAAATCAACTATAATCCGATATAAAGTCAAATATTTTTTTTTGTTCTTCAAGTGCATAAAAAACTGTAGTGCCTATGAGAGACCGTTTTTTTGATAAAGCTTTGTTATTATTATATTGATAAGCAATTTTCTAATATGAGCGCCATTTTTTTTTGAGAATTTTTTCAGTGATTGAACTTGTCAGGCCATTTTTTCCTCGAAAAAGATAAGAGTAAAAAAAAGAGGGTCCTCATAGGCACTGCATCCGGACATGCTCTTGAAGAACAAACAAAACAATCAAGCATATTGAATGAACGTTCACACAGAATTTTTGGAGACACGATAAGCTATTTTTCGAGCCTTGTTTGGTTCGTATCGCCCTAATGCCTCAGGATAGGAGGCTGAAAATTTAATCAGAGACATCCTTCTTACAGACAAACATATCCTAAAAGTTTCATAGTATTTGGATGTTCCTAGAATGAGATCAATTTTTGGAGGAAATGACCCTAAATTTAAAATAAAATTCAACATTCAACTTTGAAATTTCTAATAAAAAGCGACAACAATTAGACATTTCAGACATGTTACTTGAAAACTTTTTTTTTTTCTAAAAGATATGAAAATAAATCTCGTAAATAATAAAGAGAATTAATCATTTGAAAAATATCTTCTTGTAAAAAATCCAATTCAACGTTTGATAGATTCAATTGATTGATGATTATTATCGATAAATGTATGTGAATCATCAGCTTCTTCAGATGAATCTTCTTGTTGATAATCAATTTTAGGATTGAATGAAAAAGCACCTGGTGGAATAAAAGTCGATAGTAAAACAATAATCATAATTACAGTAAATTGAACACCAACAGTATAAATCAATGCTGGTCTTATTGTTCCATGAGATTTATAAATATTATCAATATATTTTCCAAGAAATGGATTTGCAATAGCATAAATAATAATATAAGATGAATATAAAAAAGCCATAACAGCTCCTAAAACTGATATATCTTGATATGTTGATTCAAGAGATGTCATAGATGATTGTATATAAGCAATAAGTGTTACATCAGAAGCAGACCATCCAAATGATATTGGAATAAATGTTAAAGCAATAATCCATGGATATTTTATATTATTTATAGGAGGATAAAAATATGGTATATACCAAATAATAATTAATGTTAATGAACTTAATCTTAACCAAGGTAATGGATTTTGAATTGAATTAGATAAAAATAAAACAAAAAAAGCACCAAGTAATTCACCAAAATTTGATCCACCAATAATAATTTCTGACCAATCAGAATTGCCTAAATATCGTCTAGCAACTTGTGGAGCAATACCATCTTCAAGATATCTATGTGCATAAAGTGTTAATGAATAACAACTAAATAACCAAATATATTTTCGATTTGTAAATATTATTTTTCCACCAATATAAATAGATTTTACAAAACCTATTAAATTTTTAATAATTATTTTCAAATAATTTGATTTAACTTTTTTACTATTTGAGATTTCTTTATCTTTTTCTTTGCTTTTTTTTTTTGTTTTAAATGAACTCATAAATAACCATATCATTCCTGATGCAGTAAATAAAATAGGTGTAATTATAAAAGATTGATTATTTCCAAGATTTGGAATTAAAATAAGACCAGTAATAAAAGCTCCAAAAGCACCAGATGTAGCATAAAAAATATGAACTAATGCATCAAATCTTTGTAATTTTTGAATATTATAACCAACTAAATCTCTTGGAATAACTCGATGAATTGATTCAACTAAACCATAAGCAATACCAGTTATAGAAAAAATAAGTATTATCCAATCTGTTTTATATTGACCATAATAACTAAAATCATTTTTATTAGTTAAATTAAAATTTTTTGGTTTTATATATCCACCAGTAGCAGCATCAAGAATAATTAAAATAGCAGTAAATAATCCAAAAAAAAAAATTCCTATTGATAATATTGTTCGAGAAGGATAATGTTTAATAAGAGGAGCAATAAGAGAAGAACCAATACATTGTGATGCTTGATTTAAACCAAAAAGTAATCCAACTCGTTCAAATGTATGTGGAGCTATTCGATTTTTTAATGCATCTTGATCATAACGATTTGTAGCAAGCGCCATTATAGATCCATTAAATGCTTCTAAACCAAATTTATAAATAACAATACCAATTATATAAATTATTATATTTCGTTTTTCTTTTCCAGAAAAAATTGATCCTTTATTTGTTTTATCATTTTTTTTTGATAACATTTTTATTTAACTAAAATTAATATTCATATAAGATTTATTCGATTTATTTATTTGACAAATATTGATCATTTCTATCTTAAATAAATATTATTTTCGATTTTTTATTTTTCTATCTCGTTTATTATTAACTAACCTTTACACAGAAATAATATCTTTATCTTAGATCATTTCACATTGATGTTATTAACGAGTAAGATAGAATAAATGGCTCTATCACTATTTTCACTAGAACTTTTTAACTGTTCATCCTATCGAGTTTTATTTTTTTCAAGGATACCTCATCAAATTCTCTAACTCATTGTTCTTCTCTCTAAATCGAGTCTAGTTTTAGAACATGAAAAGTAAAACCTTAGAAAAAATTGGACTTTTCAAATACGAAAATGATCATATTTCGTCATTTGAATGATGCTATTGGTTATAGAATGATTCAACGATAGTGCAAAATGATTAGAGAGACCGACTCAATTAATTTATCAAGTCCTGGTGTTTGTTTTCGTGTTGTTCATACCAAAGACATGATACAAAACGTCAAAACAAGAATATCATCCTGAATATTAGCAAACGAGTTGAATATTTCTGAATGATCAGTTCGACGAATATTAAAAGATGATCTGAAAGTTGGACTATATAAGAACCGAATTGAATGGTTGCTTACTAACATTCGCAAAGACAAAAGAATTAGCATTGAAAATTCTTTTTTCAGATGAAAAAATTTGTGATTTAGATGGAATGTATTATGTTCAATATAGGCAGTTAACAGTGCTGAAGCTGATGTAAATGGTAGTATTAAACGAAAATAAACTTTTCCAAATAAACTAATAGTTTTAAGGAAGTCTTGTCAGTGGCTAAGAACTTTGAAGATAAATTGATTTAGAGTAACCAAACTTACCAACAAGATGGTCGAAAGCGAAATATACATAATCTATCACAAGAATGGTACAAGGACAGTTTTCCAAATTTTATCGATAAAGATGATTGACCTTCAAATAATCTTAATATTAATCCTTTGGATTATTGTATATGGGATTTATTAGTCTAACAAATGAATTCGGATAAAATTAAATAAAATAAAAAAGCTCGTGTTAAAAAAAAGATGAAAAATTGTACTAATTGTACTAATCGATTGTATCGTTTGTCAAAAACTAACCGTAATTATTTACCATAAATAAACTAAATAGTTTTGTAAAGCATATTTAGCAAAAAAATTAACTCGATCGGACGAACACTTAAAAATGTATGGTCAAAATACAGAGAGAGCCATCTATTCTGCTGTACCCGTTAGAATACATACACTAACTACGAGAAGAAGATGATGAAATAAAAGACAAATATCCTAACGTAGTTTTTTGTTATCGAGTTATCGCTGTTTTATCCATGTAATATTGAGAAAGAGAGAGAAATCAAGTTATAGAATTGTAGAGACATTATATTCTAGACGAGATGAAAATGTCATTAGGTTTATGGATGGAGAACTGAAAGTTATCAGAATATATTTCTATTGAGACAAAAATAAATAACAATATTAAGACAGGACATTTGTTCTTGTCATTTATCTTCTCTTTTCTTTTACAAAAGGTTTTTCGTTCTTCTTTATATATAGATGATCATCCATAATCATCTATTATCATATGGATTTGTCAATGATTTAACCTTATCAATCATCGATATTAATTTAGCTACAAAGAAAATGATTCGAATAGTTTTATATTTATTAATCATTTCATAGATGAAAAACAAAAACATGAATATTTAACTCAATAGACATATGAATGCATTCAATAAGGTAAAGAATAATTTAATATTGATTCGAAATTTTAAAATAAACTTATGATTATCAGTAGAATTTTTATAAATTTATAAAAAAACAAAAAATAAAAAATCTATTTTAAAAGTTTATTTTATAGTTAAATTAAAATAACAATTTGAACGAAAACAAAAAAATGCTCGAATAATAATGATAAAGTTTGTTGCATTAAATTATTTTTTTTCTTCACGTTTCTTTTTCAATGGATCTTGTTGTTGATCAAAACTTCGTTTAACTTTCTCGTTTGCTTGTGGATCTTTTTTGTTTTTATAAAAATTCTCATTTGCTGTATTTGAAGACTTACGAGGATCTTCAGGTTTTTTTTCCATGACGAATATTTGGATCAATATTACGATCACCCATTTGTGTTGCATCACGACGAGATAAATTTGTTAAATTTGATTTATCCATTTGATTTACTTTTGATGAATTCGATGTCATTATTCAATTTTATTAAGAAAATTTTAACAAATATTTATTTTTAAATAAATCAATTCGATTTACTTCCTAGATATTATATTAGACTAAGTTCATGCTTTATTATTAGTTGAATGTCATATAAATGAATGTCTCTGAGTACATATTCTTTTTCTTTCTCGAGAGAAAAACAATCGAAGACAAAAAAACGATCTATAGTCAGATGTCAAGACACCTTTTAGACAACGAGTGCATTTTAGGATCAAAAATAAAATAAAATGAAATAAAACAGATTTTATTTCGAAAGAATATTAAAATTAGATTAACGCAATTACAGATATGAATTATGAGTAATTATGAGTTTATTCAACTTCCTTTTTATTATTATCTGAAGAAAAAGAACGATGAAAATGGTGACAGTTACAAGTTTAGTTTATTTAAACAATGAAAAAAACGACGATTTTCTTTTGTTGGATTTTGAGATAAACAATTTCATTAACGCTTATTAAAGAAATTTCTATTAGATTTAAAGCAAATCATTTCTTTTTCTTAATGTTAATCCTTGAAGTTTTTATAGATTTTTTTTATTCAACATCAAACAAAAATCATGATGAATAACAGACATCTTTGTTTTTATCAATTTTGAAAATTCATTGACAACAGACATCTGAATAAAAGATATCATTTCGTTTCTAGCTGCAAAAAAATATAGAGAAAAATAAAAAAAGGTACAAAAGATTGTTGTATCTTCTTTATCAGCTGTCATTCAGAGGTCGCACGAAGGTTCCCAGATTGGGGTTATAGAGTGTCTTTAAGAAATATTTCGCAGAAACAATAAAAATAAAAATATCTTGTTAGTTTAACTTGGTAATAACGAATTATTTTTAACTAAGAGGAGCTCCTATTTTCGCGGCTTATGATTTAATATACTATCAGAGTGTGCCATTATTTTTCTAATATGATTTTTATAAAATTGCTCTTTCTTTATATTCGTTTTTTTTCACATAAAACTTAACCCGTTAGATCGTAAAAAATCCTTATCTGAAAACAATGAAATACCTATTCTATACTATGACGTACGTAATACGCTAATGTATTGCTATATAGAATACTTGATAGTATTTTGGAGTTAATAACATACTCTTAGAGCTTATTTAAATGAATACTTCGATCTTATGTGCTATATCTCTATAAAATCTATCGCATTATATATATTTAATCGATACTCTATTACTAGTATCAAAGAATAATTTCAATTAAAATTGGTTATAATGGTCTACATATGATATATAATAGTAACGGATTATTGATATGAAATAAACTTATGAAATTTATTTTTTTTGCACATGTGTGTTCTAATCCGTAGAAAAATGAAACAAATTACGAATAAACCAAATAATATGATAGATCTAGTAGTGATCAATCAAAATAAAAGCAACATTCGTCTCATGCTTTTTCAATGAGAATAGAACTTTTCAAACTCATATCCAGTTGTCAGACAACTATATTCGATTATCTTGGATGATTTCGATAATGATAAATATATTGATATACTAGTGATTAATCAGCGCTCTAACAATATTGTTAAGTAACTATAATTTACTAAGCCTTTGGCCAATTGACTATCTTATTAGACTGATGCAAGTGAGTAATCGTTAAATTTTCATTGCATTATTCCCTCAAACTACAGTGCAGCTCATATTTATTTGATATGTTGTTCCTCGGTTAAAATCATTGCATATGCAATTAGGCAAATCAGATTTAATTAGAAAAAAGTCTTCTTATTTCGACTATTCGGCTTTTTTCTCTATTTTTAGATGATTAACATTCAAATTTCATCGTTAATATGAACTTTTAATATAAGTATGTTCTTTTCTTTTTTTTTCTTAGTTTGTGTTCACTTTTGATTTTTTGGCCATATTTATGAATAGAGATGTAAACAAAGGATCTAGAGCCTTTTTTCGAGATATTTATTGAATTTTTTTAAATTTATGGAATATGTTTCCTACATCAACTTTTAAATGAATATCCTATGAAAAGATTCATTTTAATCAATTATTCTTTTCAAATCAAGGATATATGTCAAAAATGCGATTTTCGTCTAAATTATGCTTTTGGAAAGGGTTGATCAAGAGCAAAATCAGATCTGTATACTTTTAAACTACACACTTAGTATTAGAAAGTCTTGCAAGAATTGTCTTGGGACACTGTAGGATACCACGCAGAGCCTTATCGGATGATGAATCCAAAATTGGCCTCTTTCATGCTTAGCTGATTCAGATTTGTTTAGGAATTATTAAAAATGTTATATGATACGAAGAAAGTTTTTATTCCCTATTTATTTGTACTTAATTCCCTCTTAATTCAATTATATAACCTCTTTGAAAATGGCAATAAAATTTTTCGACTCAAAAGCCCGGAGGGAGGTACGGCAAAATTTCTTTCCGAAATCTCCGTACCTCCCTCCAGGATTTTGGGCCAAAACTTTTTTTTTGTTATTTTCAAAGAAATATAGTAGATAAAAATTTTCCTCGTATCATGTTACATTTTTAATAATTTCTAGATAAATCTCAATCAGTTAAACATGAAAGAGGTCAGTTTTGGGTACATCTTCCGATAAGACTCTGCACGGTATTTTAAAACGTCTTAAGCCAATTTTTGCATGGCTTTGTAGTACAAAGTCTGTAGCTTAAAATGACACAGATCTGATTTTGCACTAGATCGGCCTCTCTAAAACTCGTGATTTTGACGAGAGTCGTCTGAGCCATAGGAATTAGCTAGAAAGCTGAATTTTTACGAGACTTAGTACTAAATGTGATCTCTCTATAGCCACAATGTCAATTCTCTAGCGTGATCTGTCTAGTCGATATATGAAGTGGACAGTAAAAGTTGAAGAGACTTTTATTTTTGAAGTTTTTCATCGATGATGAGTAGCTAAGTCAAATCGAAATAGTGATGTTAGATAGCTCTTGAAATTCTCTATCAAATAGAATATATATCAAATTTTCAAAAGATACTTTATCAAGAGAGTTTTGCAGAAAATCATGCCAGAGGAATTTCAACTCGTAGACAATTTTGACAGAAAGATTTTTCAATATAACCATCTCAAAGAGAAGAAAATTCTCAACAAAATCAAAGACCGCTCAGCTCTCTACGATATTCCTTCACAAAGTTATAAGCATTAGAAAAAAACGAAAAAAAACGCAGTTTTTACCGAATTTGAGGGCGTTTTTTGATAAAAATCGACGAAAAACGCGTTTTTTTTTCGTTTTTCTAATGCTTATAACTTTGTGAAGGGATATCGTAGAGAGCTGGGCGATCCTTGATTTTGTTGAGAATTTTCTGCTTTTTGAGATGCTCACATTGAAAAATCTTTCTGTCAAAATTGTCTACGAGTTGAAATTCCTCTGGCATGATTTTCTGCAAAACTCTCTTGATAAAGTATCTTTTGAAAATTTGATATATATTCTATTTGATAGAGAATTTCAAGAGCTATCTAACATCACTATTTCAATTTGACGTAGCTACTCATCATCGATGAAAAACTTCAAAAATAAAAGTGTCTTCAACTTTAACTGTTCACTTTATATGCATAAAATACCAAAAAGTGAAATTTGTTTCATGTAACTTGGTAGTCTTGGTCAACTTATAAACGGTTCATTCATTTGAGCTCATTTTTTTTTTTTGGTAATAGAGAATGATGATATCTATTTAGAGTAAAAATTTCAAGTTAAATAGATATTGATGTTACAAAAAATTTCATATATTGACTGGGAAGCTTTCAAAAAAATTCAAATATTTTATGAATGAAACAATTTTTTTTCGAAACGGCTTGCATAGAAATTTATTATACACGTAAGAAAAACGAGTAAAATCAATGATAATCGACTGAGCAGGTTCGATGGTGATTTGCGTTAAATGTCTTCTATCTAATAAAAATTTATGATGTGTAAAGACTGTGTCTCTTCTGTTGTATAGAATAATCACGCATAAGAATAGAATCATTTTGCATTGATTTTGTAGTTGATGATGAATTATATCTTGTATATGGAACGTCAATAGTTGGAAGACTGTAGGACGAAGGTGAAAGAAATGATGTTTTTGTTATATTCATATAATTTGTTTGAACATCAGAAAGTGACAGTGATGTATGGGAATTTTCTTTTGTAAATGATTGAATTTTGTTCGAATAATTTAATTGATATTTTTTCTCAACAATATTATTATCATTTATATATTGATGACGATAATCAGGTAAATTATCCTGAATTAGATAAATCAATTTTCGTTTAATTAATCAAATTATTTTACCTGTTGATCAACATTTTGATCACGTTTTAAATATCGACGAAAAGATTTGCCACTAAAAAAAACACATTCAGAATATAAATGATTAATAATATATTAAAAAATAATGAAAATCTATTTGACTATTATTGAAAGAATATTATCAAATATATAAAATTGATAAAATTATATTTTAGAATAAATAAAAATCTAACCTGAAAAATTGACAATGTTGACAACAACAGCAATATAATGACAAAGCAATTAATAATAATAATAATGGTAAACCGAAACCAAGAATAAGTCCAAGATTTAAACTATTTAATCCAGAATTGTCATTTACATAAACTGATGGTAAAAGTATGTTGAAAAAAAAAAAAGATCGATTTATCAAAAATGAAGAATCTTTCTAATAAGAATATAAATATAATCAAACCTGTTCCTATCATTGATGTTGATGATGCTACTGTTGTTGTTACAAAAGTCAACATTGTACTTTAATTGAAAATTATTTTTCATCATAAAAAAAACAAACGTCTGATGAAACTTACACTGATGTTGTAGTTGTATTTGTAGTTCTAAATATATTTCATACATAGAAGTAGTTTAACTTGTATCAAAAGAAAAAAAAAACTTTTTTTTAAAAATTTTATCATTATTTTTCAATAGATATTAACTTACGTTGTCGTTCTATTTAGTATAAAATCGGTTGGACCTAAATTATATTTATATTGATTATTCTATTTAAAACTAAGAAACATACAATTAAGTGTTTGTCCAACGGGTAAAACTGTAAATGTTGTGCAGTATTGATCTGATTGTATATTATTACTAAAAGGAAAAAAAAAGAAAACATGTCAAAAAGAAATTCAATATGAATATGATTCCTATAAAAACCTATCAGTTGCAATAGCACAATAAACCTGAGATCCAATTTGATCAATAGTTGGTATCCATGTTTCAGTAATAATCCATATATTAGTCGATCCAACTTGTATTAAATCATTTTTATACATATTTAATGGTGATGTTCTAAATAGATCTACTATTGTTATATTCGAACAACCTTGTTGGATTGTTAATGTAAAATTAAATTCAACTCCAACACTAATAGGAGTGCAATTTGATAAATTGGAACTAACCATCGGTTTTGTAAAGCAATTAGGTTTATTAATGATTTTAATTAAAAACTGTAGAGGAATACTACTATATGGTAAATATGATGATTCTCTATAATAATCTTCAATCATCAAAGTAATTGGATAATATTGTCCAACAATAGTGCCTGTACTATTAAATGTTAATATACAATCATTGCTGTTGAGTGTACTAGCAGGTGCTATTCCACAGACATCACCACATTCATCAAGTAATGATGTGTTTTGAGCCCAACGACAACTGAAATAGAAATAATCAATGGTTTATATTTAGTAGAAAGAAAATAAATAACCGTATAACATCATTGTTAGCATCGATCACTGGAATTTTAATATTTGTTTCAGTATCAACAAGTACATTTATAGCTAGACACATAAACATTAAAAAAAAACAAATTTCTATATTCATGAACAAACAAGAATTTCATTCGATGTACATTTCAGATTTTTATTTTATTTTTTAGTTCTTTTTTTTTATCAGTCTAGTCTCATTATGTATTTGTGCAATAGTGTCAAACTTGAAAGTTGAATTCAACTTTTCAACTATTGACTTTATTGCATACACAGAGATGAGCATGGGTTGCGGCTCTTTCTGGTGGGAAGACTACGTGTCCTCATGTCGTAACGCTGATATTAAAGATGAGTCACTCAGGAAAAGTTGTGTCACCCTTACATCTATTCTCGCTAAGTGTTCAGCAATATAATATGAATAGTTGAATTCAAGTTTCAAGTTTGACCTATATGTTGTTCCGAAGAACATACTTATCCACTTCCCATAGTGGGGGAAGTATAATGATGCAGGAAAAGATTTTTTTACTACTTATCGTCTGGTAGATGGTCGGAAAGAGTTAAATAACTAAAGTAGCGAAGCATTGTTACTCATTAACAAGTAGGACAAAAACGTTTTTTTTCTCCTTTTTTGAAAAGAATAATCAGAGAAGCTTTTATTTATTTTCAAGAATCATGAAAGTAGACTGAGAAGTCGAGTAGATTCTAAAAATAATTTTTTCTACGTAAATAACATACGCGAGATAATATTTGTAACAGGTGGTGTATTAATTAATCCATCTAATCTAATTGATAAATCAAGACAACAACCGATCGACCATCTAGGAGCACTATTATAACAACTAGAGAGAGTTGTTGTTGATATAGTAGTAGTATTCGAAGTAGTAGAAGCACTTGTTACACAATTGACTGTTTGTAGACCAATCCAAGTTGCGCCTTGAAATGCAATACAGAACTTCGAACCAATTGTTATATTTTGAACTGTTGAAATTTGACTTGAACTTAAATCAAGAATTGTACTGAAGTCAGTACAATATCCACTGATATTAAGTGCATTATAACCACCACAAGAACTATTAGATGTAAGACATATTAGTTTACTAATTCCTGTTGGAATTTGAGGTGAATGATTTAAAACATAAGATTGATTACAATATGTGAGAGGACCTGATTGTCGCCATTGATATGATTGTGTAAAGATGATAGGAAGTGTTGAACCAGTTGTTGTATTATCCGTAGGTTTCCATGTTATAGTTCCACCATAGAAATGAGTTGATTCAACAAAATTTGTTAATATATATATGATTATAATCAATATGATGAAATTCATTTTTGATAAAAATAATAAAGCAACAAAATCTTTCACTTTTATCAATCAAACTTCTATTTATAAATAATCGAATATGCACTTATCAATGTTGTTCGTTGCTTATATATTTACAAAATTTGATCTTGAATAATTGGTTTTTTTTTCGAATTTCGTTTGAATAAATGAATATTTCTGATTAAATAATGTAGAGTATCGTTTTTATTTTTCTTAGTAAATAATCATAAATAGAATGAAATATAATGATGTTTCTTCAATAAATAGAAAAAACTCGAGTTGACATGAAAGGTTTTATTCTAATTATATTGGATAGATTATTATTTATTGATGAAAACGGCTTCGATGTCATTCACTATTCAACAAATCAAATCTCATGTGTTTTTCAACGCAATACTTACCATTAATTGTTTAAAAAATTCTTCATATCTCTATTAACTCTATGGAAATTCATTTACCTTGAAATAATTATTTAACTAGCTAGATATTTCGTCTTTTATAATTTATGTTGTTTTGTGTTCAAATAAATAAAGATTTATAGAGAAAACATAGGAATTTGAATTTAATAATAAAATAATGAAATTTTTTTAAAATGAGATTACAATCTATGACCAAACAAAATTCATCTTTCAAACATTATTTTAATTTTTAATTTATTTTTTTGTACCTACGATAAATTGAGATGTATACGAGCAGAATTTCAAAATTCATTCGGACAAAACAAATTCTTTGACAGATTAACGTTAGAACAATGAGAAAATCTAAACAGAATTATCGTTAAAGATTGAAAATAAATCTTCTCTTGTTTTAATCGATTTATCTTTATTTTAAAAAAATCTAAACAAAATAAATTCTGAAGAGAAGACAAAAAAACTGATATTCGTCAACTAAAACTAAATCAAAAACAATATTTTTAACATTTTATACTAAGATATTTCCAAAGAATTTCTTCTAATATGGATCGTCGATAGTCGCAATAGATATCTTATCAATGAATCATCACAGACTTGGCAAACATCTTAGCAATGGCACATCACAGACTGTATATGAATAAGATCTCGTTATTATATCTGAACAATTTCCTTATTATATTTGTCAATAATTAAATGAAAGGATGGTGAAGAAATTTATCTTCTAAATTTGTGTGTAGTTTAATGAGTTTTCTGTAAGGATACATTTCTTATAAATAGAATATTATCGGTTGGAAGATTATTTAGAGACGATAAGAAAAATCATTTGTTTTTCTTATATTCATCGAATTTAAATCAAAATCAGGTTAGGAAATTTTTATTATTTGATTGGAAGATGTTCACTTTATTTTTTTGTTAACAATACCGATTAGTATTTATGTATTGTTGACGATAGTCGAATAATTATTTTTGAACATCTTTATTATTTTTAATATAAGAATAATATTTTTCTTTTGACATTTCTTGACTGCTTATATTTTGAATCTAATCATTATTTCGATAAGAAAACTTTCTGCTAAAATAATAAAAATGATCAATTGAAATAATGCTACATGTTATATTACCATAACATAGACAAGAACAGGTTTCATTAATTATTGAATGACTACATATTTATATTTTACTACGTTCTTTATAAATAAATGTCTATTATGTTTACTATATTTCGCATTAACAATCTTTCTCTATGCATTGAAATGTAATTATACCTATTGAAAAAGTCTTCTACGCAAAAGAAACGATGAATTATGACCATAGCATAGAATGTCTATTGTCATTATTTTTGAGCATGGGGTTTTATAGATCAATGTTAACCGTTACGAATTCTGTAGTTCTATCAATCAAAGAAAATTCATTTGTCTTTCCATTGATCTTATGGAAATAAGAATTTTTAATACCAAAATAAACGTTTTTGTCTACGTCAAAAATATAATTAAAATCAGATATGAGTGTTACCAATCATAGAGATAAAAAACTATTTATGCAATGCAAAACAATATTATCTTATTGGAAAATCTCTCTTGATCATATGAAAATATTTTAATTATAATGAATTGAAAAGTTACTTTATTTAATAGACACTCTAAACATCTGTTCCTATAGAAGTTTTCAAGAATATTTTCTTTTTTGATAGATATTTGTTGATTATTGATAAAATAAATATTATATTGTAATTAAGAAATATATGAATGGTTCTTGAGCCAATGCATACATAATAGATTCAACACTAAAAATAAATAATATCTATATTTATTTATTATTAACATTTAAAACAACTTGAAATTTTCTTAGACTTATTCGTAAATGATAAAACTTTTACAGACTTTTCAATACTATGAAAACTTGTCAGACATTCAAAAAGCAACATTTTTAAGGGTTTGATTCGATGGAATTCTCAATCTTGCAAAATTCTATTGTTTTAAAAAGACTATGCTTTAAACAATATTTTCAATGATTCAAGATACCAGATCATATCTTATCGAACATTATCATTCTGTGACCAAATGGAAATAAAATATATATCTTAAACAAGGATCTAAACAAAGTTTCAGAGCCGGAAACGAACCGGAATTTTCGGGTTCGGTTCAGTTCGTTTTCGGGCTCTGCAAATTTCATCCAGGATTGTTATATATTCCGAGTTTTAATTGAAAAATGACGGTTTATAACTTTTGTGATGAGACAATGGTGAGTTGATCTCTTAACTTACTGATGATTGAAATTATTGATTGCGAGCTAATCGATCCACTTGTTAGTATGGCTAAATATTAAAAGCAAAAATGATTAGTTTTTATAAAAAAAAAAAAAAAAACTTCGAATATCGTACTAACTTGGTAATGTATTTGATGAGCTACTTTCAACAGTGAAATATGCACAACCAAGAAGACCATTGTTACAATTCAAATCGATTTTAAGTATCTTTCCCGCAAGAAATGAGGCTAAGATATATAAAAATATATAAATTTCCATAGGATTTATCAATGAAGACTATAAAAATCGTGAATCCTTATGGTTAGATATTTGACATAAACAAAAGATTATCTCGATTTGTTAATTATGGCTATTTCAGATGTTTGTATCGTATACCAATCTTCTCCTTCAGAGATAATTTTGCATTGATGACAATTATTCTCGTCAATATTAATTAGAATATTTACTTATTTTTTTTCAAACATTATGAATAATTCTACTGACCTAAGTTAGCTTGATTGAGTTGAATAGTGCGTACATATAATTGATCATGATTAGTAGCATATATTATATCGACAATCGATGAATTTTGCCGATTGACATCAATATATGTAGTAAGAAATTGTTCTGAACTAGTTTCATAGTAAGAAAATGTACGACTATTACATCCTTGGCCAACAGCTAAGTTTGATCCATTAGCTAAGCGAATTGGATTGTTTTTGTTAAGTTGTACATCACCTGGACTATTTGGTTGTGCAGGAGGTAAAGTAAATGATGGATAAAAAGGATCAGTGAATGCATAAATACATGTACTTGCACGATTACCTTAAATTAATAGAATAAATAATTGAATTATTTAAGATAAGATTTGATTAAATTGATTTGTCATTATATCTCGATGTAGATTTGTTTGAAATAAAAATAATCTTAGAAATTTTTCTTTATTCTAAATAAAATAAAATGTGAAAGATAACTATCGTTCGACTAATGTCTATGAAGAAGATAAAATTATTTTCAATATAAAAACAAAAAATATTTCTTTTACTATTCAATTGATGACATAACTTCGAATAAAAAGTTGAATTACTTTGTATTATTTTTGCATTGATGATTGGAAATATGAATAAAAATAATCTTAGTAAAATTTTCATTGTAAAAAAATAGTTATTCATATAAAAAATCTTCATCGATAAACGTTGAAGAACGAAAAAGGTTCTCATAAAAGATAGACAATCTCAAGTATTTTTAGTTTTTCTTTTTTTTTTTTTGTTGTCTTGTCGTCTACAACAAAAGAGACCAATTGATATGCACTATTTTGCCAACTTTGTTGTTGATAAGAAAGTCAGCAAATAAAGAATAATAACACTTATGAAAATTATCAAACGATACGAGAATTCTTTTTTTTTTGACTTGTCCGTTGATCTGCATGGATTGCAATTGATACAGATTATCATCAATATAGATTCAACTAAACAAATATGAGAATAAGTTTCGAGTAAATATTGCACAATGCACTTATCAATAAAATATTAATATGTAACGTGCCTTTTTTTTTCTAGTCAACATTGTAATTTCTAATTTAAGTAAAATAGTTGTTTTCACGAAGTAGATTGTAAGATTTACATGAAATAATATTGTAATGATCTTTTTTTTAAATTATTCGAATATATGTTTAGGATTGCAAATATTATTCTGATAAAAAGAAATATTTCTAATTTGAATATTCGCGTTAGAATTGAAAAAATATATTTATTTGTAATATAAGGTCAAATAGTTTTTATATAAAATAGATTCTCATTTATTAAATAAATTTGTAAACAATTGATTTTTCTCTTTTTTTTTTTGAAATAAATCGATCGACAATTATTGTTTGTCTTGGTTTTAAAAATATGTTTTTGAACATAGAATAAAAAGAAAAGTTAAATTAGACAAAATCGATTGAGTTTATATTGAATGTTGAACTATTCTAAATATCTTGATCTAAAATAATATTTGATTTATTTTTATGTCCTTGAAATTTTGGTAAACCATCATTTTTAAAACAATCACTCGAAATTGTTCTTTGACCATAAAATATATGACATGAGGCTTTTAATTTTTCTCGTACTGTTTCTGATAAACGAAATTGTTTAAATGTTTGTGGAAATGCCAACCACATTCGACGTCCTTCATCAGCTAATGGTGATGAACATTGTTTACAACTAACTTTACATGGTAATATATGATCTTGAATATTTTCATCACTATTGTAAAATTTTAATGAATCTAAACCTGATAGAAAATATAAAGATGCTTTTGGAAAAATACATGCCCATTGATATGGTGCACCTTGTAATTGTTGACATCCATGACAATGACAATAAGTTGAATCAACTGGATATTCATCATAAATAACATATTTTACTAATCCACAATAACATGATGCATTATATTTTATTAACTTATCATCTTGTTTTACATTAGAATAAGGTGGATTGGATTCCCAATCCAAAGACATCTTTAAATAAATAAATAAATAAATATCTTATAAAAAATAATCGAATTCCCTTTGTTATTCATTATTGAATCTAATATAAGTATTTAAAAAAAAAGATTATTCATAAAATGAATAGATTTCTCCAAGTGTAATCTTAATTGACCAATCAAACATCGAGTTTTATTTACTAATGAAAATGACGAGTGTCCTTCATTGAAGTCGCTTTATATTTTCAATATAATTATCTATTAATTTTATTGAGATATCAACTAAAAGGTAATTATAATTAGAATAACTAGAATATTTAATTTATCTCTTTTAAAAAGAATAATTTACAAGATAAAATATTCTTCGAAAAAATTTCATTATTCAGTTATTAATTATCAAGTAAAGATATTCATTTCTTAAACATCTATTACAATTATGCATTTACCCTACACTATAGTAACAAGGTTTCAATTCTAATAATTTCATTTATTTATAGATGAAAAAGCATTTTAATTTAATTCGAAATTAATAATATTTTCTTTTTCTGTTGAAGACGTGACTATCAAGCCATTTTTTTTTCATATGCTTTAATTATATCGCCTCGGTAAGATAAGATAAATGGAGAGTATTACTCATACGATAAAAAATACACAAATAGATAATAATTTTACTTAACTAATAGAAGTAGAATGGTTATATAAAAATTAAAATGATCATAACATCTAATTTGAAAAAACCAAATCAGTACTTTTGTTGCTCAAAAGTGGTTGATTTAAATCAGATAAGACATGTGGTCTTATATAAACACATGCTTTAAACCTACATATCTAAATATATTGATAAACGATTTTTTACGTTGTTTATTTTAATTGTAGGAAAATAATATTTTCTATTCAGTTTTTCATGTTGAATTAGAAAAAAAAGTCTATTTTGGAAGAGTTTTAAAAAAATGATTATAGAAACTTGAAGAGTTGTGTTGAGAAAAATAGAGTTTATTTTTATTGGTCTTATGAATATTTGAAACTTGTTTGGAACGATCAATGAAAAATAAAATCCATTGGTATTTGACGTTATTGTACATCTTAGAATAATAAATATCGCTTCTCGGAATTCGATACTCAAAAAAAATAAGAATAATTTATTTTCTTATATTGATGCAGAAGAAATTATTTATAGAGACATTTCAATATGAATAAATGAAAATGAAAATTAGAATTTGTTTTTTTTTTGTTTGAATAAAAGAAAATTATTTTGTAATTTTGCATCTGATTGAAAATGAGATATGTTTTAATTTATTTTAATCTAAAATTGAATTTTGTGTGTGAGATCTATTAATAAAATTTTTCAATGTGACGATTTTATCGTTATTTATATGAAAATGTATTTATCAAATTTTGTTCAAATTGTTGTTCTGTACTATTTTATCGTATTACTAATATTGACATGATATATTATAATCGATAAAAGGTAAGATAAAGAAAGGAAGAAAATATAACTACCTGTGGAAGTTACTTTTACGTTATTCTTGTTAATATAACACGTGTAAGACTACCGTATGTTGATGAAAACAAAAAAAATAACTACTATTTAACGTATGTATTTATATATATATTCAGTGTTAAAAGCAATAAGGCAATGGTATTAAAAAGTTTTATTAATTATCTTATTAATAAATATCTTAAAAAGTACGTTGAACGACTCGATTATGAAAAAGTTAAATTGAGTTTGAAAAGTGGTTTGTATTATTTGGTTTTTTGTTTTGATTATCAATCGATTTTGTTCTATAGGAAAGATCTTTTTGGAGAATCTTCGTTTAAAACCTGAAGCATTGGTTTGTTTTTTTTCCTCAAAAAAATTTCTTTTAAACAAAAAATAAAAAATAATTCTTTTCTTTTTGTTTTCTTAATATAATATAGGCCAATCTCAATATTCCTGTGACAATAGCCGTTGGATATTTAGGTAAACTTTTTCTTATTACTATAGTGAAAAAGTCTATTTAATGAATGTTTATTTAATAGAACAATTAAGAGTATCAATTCCATGGAACAGTCTATCGGCAAATCCAACCGAAATTCACATTGATGGACTTTATATGTTGATTGTGCCGAAGAATGGTACGTTAATAATCTATTTATTATCTATGAAAATAAAATCTTTTTTTTATACAATAACAATAACAATAAAAAAATTAGTCATATTATTCTGCTTTGAGCCGTTTTCAATCGAACTTGAAATCGTTTCAATTTTTGTACAGTCGAACGATTGTTTATGATAATCAAGAAAGTTTAGCAGAAAGGTCAAATGCAGATTTACTATATTATATTGATTACGGCCAATCCTAGCAAGAAAATAAACTTAGTTGCTAGATATCGTTGTGCTGAGCAAAACATCATAATGGATGTGGATGCATCAGTCTCAGTTTTCTTTACATTGACACTCACACCTACTATGACATCTTGCTCACTACTACGATTAGACATGGAACGGTGACGGTGAATTATCAGTTCAAACCGGTAATCACTTCTTACCGGTCTAGGGTGTACTCGGATTTTCGAGATTTTCAATTTCATGTTTTTCATCAGGAAAAGTTTTCTTCCCGAAAATAACGATTTTTTATAAAGTTTGACCAAAGATAATCGAGGTCGAGAGATCTGAATCTGTCATTGGTTTCTGCAAGTTTCGAATTTGATTTTTTGCAAAAAAATTTTAATAAAAAATTAAAAAAAAAAACTAATATCAAATTTGGATCCCTTGACCTCAAAAACCTTTGATCAAGCTTTATTTTATGTGTTGGAATGAATCACCTTAGTGTTAGTCTGATCGAACGAACATAGTTCACTCAGTGTATGATCCTCCTTTCAGTAGAGGGAATAAAATTGAAAATTTCGAAACACCAAGTACACCGTAGATCTGTATAGGCCGGCTATCATCACTGTTGCATGCCTAACTACGATATCTAGCAACTAACTAAAAACAAAATTAGAGTTTTTTTGATTGTAACATTTGACCGACAGAGTAGATAGATTTTAGAATTTTCTTAGTCGTATCAAATTGTATTCACGGAGAAAATATCCACTGAAAAGTAAATAAACAGTTAAGGTATTTTCGTCGTTAAGTCTATTTGTACTTTTCTGAAGATAACAGACAGGGAAAAACATTTGATTTCACACGATATTTACTGTTGATCGTTTTCATATAATGAAAAAACTTAAATTTGAAGATAATAGTAGGACTTCTTTTTTTAAATTGAATAAAAATAATTGTTTTTTTTATTAAATAGAAAAGGGTCAAGATTTGAGCGAACACTACGCAGAAAAATCAAAACGAGTTCAACAAAAATTGGAAAATTTTCGAAAAGTTGCATCAGGTTAGTAATAGAATTTTTTGTTATTTTCTAATGAATATTTCTAATAGAAAATGGAGGATTTGACAATAAAGAATTAGCATTTATTGAACGAATGAGATTTCAAGTTATGCGAAATATTATTTTAACAATTCGAAACGTACATATTAGCTATGAAATGAAATCATCAAACAAATTAGGACATCCTTTTTCATTTGGAATCACTTTTTATTATCTTGAAGTGACGGTAACCAATCTATTCGATATTTAGACTTTTTTTTAAATTTAAAAAACAAATTTTTAGACAGCGACCAATAATCAGTTGACTAAACGAACAAAAGAAGATACACTTCTTACTTATAAGGTCTCTTTCAAAATTGAATTTTTTTTTCTAATAATAATTGTCAATTATTTTAGATTAATGAAATGAGTTCATGGTCAGTCTATTGGAATACAAAATGTAAATCAAGACTTGACATGCCATTCAAAGATATTCTGGTAACAATTTTCACTTTTTCTAATATAAAGAGTCTCTCTCCTCAGAAAATCTATAGATTTGATGATTTCTACCTGATTAGATAGAGGAAAGTGTCTACTTTTGAAGGCACTATATTTTATTGATTTTATGATCAGATTTAAGGATATAACATAGATTTTTCTGCACCCTCATATAGGAAAAAAAAACGTTTTTTCTGAAAAATTTTTCTTTTTATGTTTGCTGTACATTTCAGATTTCTCCGTCATTTTAAATGCTAGAAAGGTCGACCTTATGTCAAAATAAAGGCAAAAATTAGCTCTATAACTTAACAGAGCTGAATTTTTTGATTTTTCCATTAATGTTTATAAAAACCTAACTGTTATAGAGCTACTCCCTCGTTAGGTTCTCTATATTTCATCCGAAAAGTTTTCTAGGAACACAAGCTAGGAAGAAATCAAACGATCAGTCCCTCTTAAATTGTAGAGCTAATTTTTCTTTTATTTTGACATCAATTTGAACTTCCTAGCATTTAAAATGGAGGAAAAATTTCGGATGTATGGAAATCTAACTTTCGATCGATATTCTGTCTTAATCACATTGCTCAATAGTATAGCGGATATAAATATAATTATAGTTCGCATTATCTATTATGATATGTCTCATATGAGAATAACTTTCGATTGACATCTAATATATTCAGGCTTTATCTTAGTTTTTGATTAAACTGCAAACAAATTTTATTTGAATATAGTTCAATCTCGAGAAGTGTATTTTTTGTTTTCATCGATTGATACATACATTATATTTCAGATGAGGGAAACAGAATTTTCTAATTGATCATTAATACTAAAGAAAGCATGGCTAGAATTTCGAGATTTTTTAGATTTTGATCATCTTCAAAATGTAATAATGTAAAAATAAATCAGTAATGAGTTCTCTTTGAAATAAAAGCAAGCTAAACTGTGAGAAATTCTATGTTATAAATAATGAAAGATAAAATAATTTTAGGATGATCTTAAATCTAAAATAGCGACAAATAATTCTACACCAGATGACAATGAAATGAAATATGGTTTGTTTTTATATAAAATCTGCTAATTGTATTATTTTATAAATAATTATTTTTCAATAGTTATTCGTCCTTCAAATCTTCTAAGTGAATCATTGATAACATTAAAACCTAAACAACATCATTATGAACGATCAACATTGATTTTTAATATTAACATTCCTAAAATGAATTTTCATCTTGATTCGGAACAAATATCTGATATTTTAGATTTTATCAAAGTTCAAGATTATATGAAAACCTATGGTATATTTTATTTGTTTTATCATCAATATCTAAATGATGTTTTTCTTTTTGAAAAGATCGATGTTATGAATATCGTCAACTATTATTACAAGACTTATTGGCTATCGAACCATTAACACAACAACAAAAACAACGTATTCAAGTAATTTTTTAATTTATAATTATAGAATAATATTTTTGTTGTTGTTTTTATTTAAAAAAAAGTTTCTTGAATCAAAATTGGATATATTTAATTTGGCTTATATTCGTCATAAAGTTGAAATTGAAAGTAATCGTTTATCTTCAACTATGGCAAATGATAATAGTGATCAAATACAACAAACTACAACGAATCAAATGCCAATTAACATTCCTAATCAAAATACAAAAAGAGATAGATTTCAACACCGTTTGAGTTCATTGGCCAAAGTAAAAACAACATTTACTCATTTAACTAAAAGTATGTTTTATCAATTATATTATTGAAACTCATTTATCTTTATGGGATTTCTCTTTTCCGATCCAAAATTTTTCATTTTTTGTCTTTGGTATGTGGATTTAAATATCTTCTATCTAATGAGCACATTTTAAGAAGGTGAAATCACCTTATTGCATATGAAAAATTCAATTTTATGCTCAAAAAAGGCAAAAAAAAATGCAAATTTCTTTACATCTTTCTCAAAATTCCAGATTTTTAAACAAAAAATTGAAGTTTTCTTCTAAACGGTACGATCGATTGGACTCAAACTTTTTTTTAATGACTATTTCGATCAGATTGGGGTGCTTCTTTTTTTTTCCTTTTAAAAATCTTGTACTTACAAAGTTTAGCAGATTTTACAAATTTATCACCATCCGAAAAAAACGTTTCTTTTTGATAGTGCCTCCAGTGTTTTGCTTCTCCTGAGTCTCACGAACAATATTTTTCAAAGAAACAAAACACACACCCAGATTCGTTCTTAGTTGCCACAGAAAAAATGTTTGTCGCGGGGAGAAAACTTCAAGTCATTTTTGATCCTTGACCTCCGAAAATCTTCCTGAAGAAAGCATTTGGGAATTGTGAGCCTATGAGAAGTTTTATTCTATTTATCGAAATCTATCTATCCTGAAAGTTTCAAAAATTTTCGCCAAACCATAGTCTGAAAGGAGCGTCCTCCTAATACTTTTACAATACAAAAAAGAACTTCATGGATTCTTAAGTAGATGAATCTTTTTTTTGTCAGTAGTTCTAACTGATCAATCTTTTTCATAGATAAAGTTTATATTATAGAAAATTAGTAAACCCTTATAGGTCTAAAACAATTAACTAACATGAGGAAATATAAATATTTCTGATGTTTGGATGTATAATCTCATTGAATGTGACCTTTAAAGTTCATCACGGTTAATTCTATATAATAACGTAATTTAGGTAATCGACAAACGAAAACAACAGCAGGAACATTATCAAATATTCTAAACGAAAGAGAATCCTTATTTGAAGACGTAAGTTATTTGAATATCTATTATGAAATATATCCTAGAATGATATATAATCGTTATTATTTATTTCTATTGATTTGTTGAAGTTGCCCAAGATAGATGCTGAAATAAATATCAATCAAATTAATTTTAATATTTTATCAACAACTACAAATACAAGGTATTCTATCAGATGATTATATCTCAATTGAAAAATATGCATCATTCAGATCAGAATAAAAAGAAACAAACAAACTAATATTTGATTTATTTGTTTGTAAAAATTGTCATTATTTAGATTAATGGCGAATAGAATCAATCATGAAATAATAGCTTGTATCAGCATAACTGAAGCTTGGTTTAAAATAAAGAAAATGTCTATTACATCGAGATTGGAGTAAATAAAACTATTGATTTATTCTATTGTTTGTTGATATTGTTCTAAAGATTTATGAATGAATTTCAATCTCTTCATATATTTGGTACAAATCGTGATAATCAATATCGACCCATATTGATTAAACCAAGATTATTATCATCTCCATTTCTACATATCGAATTTGAATTATATACTGCCGATTCGAAATCAGATAATCGTTTTTATTTAACTATGGAACCAATTGAATTTATCTATGATGCTGTGAGTAAATAGAACATAGATTTAATATTGAAAATAAATCAATTTATCAACTAAATATAAATTCCTATTTTATTTTGTTATTTAATAGCCAACAATAAATCAATTGATGGAATGTTTTGATACTAATGATAATATTATTTGGAAAGCAGCACCAAAGTTCGTTGATTTATATTAATAAATAGTATAAATTATTTTTGTTTTTGATATATAGACTAATCCAACATACAATAATGGAAATGGAAGATAAATTATTATCGAAGAAAATCTTGGATATGAATATTGATTTAAAAGGAGTATCAATTCTTTTACCAGAATGTGGTGTCTATCAAGAGTAAAGAATTATTTATTTTTCTTTTCTATTCCTATTTTATTCTATAGAGGTTTTTCAATAATTCATATTCATTGTGGCAATATCATCTTAAAGTCATGTCTTGAAAAGAGTGATAATGATGATATTGATAAATCTTTATTTAAGGTATTTATTATTATTTCAATATATATATATATTTATTAAGTTTTATCCCAAGAAATTGTTGATTGTTTCATTATTTTTTTGTTAAAAGGAAAATAGTGAAGAACAAGA